TACCAATCCTCTTCATCTGTACATTATCATCATTATCATGTATTGCTCATGTATCCTCATCGTTGTCACGTATCATCATCATCTTGGTTCGTGCATCTCCGCTGTCGGCTGCCGGTTCCTCGGGCCTAATAAAGGTCTTTCAAACCAAGACTTCATGATATATATATATATATATATATATATATATATATATATATATATATATATATATATATATATAGTGATCTGTCTATCTATCTATCTATCTGTCTGTCTGTCTGTCTGTCTGTCTACCTACCTACCTACCTACCTACCTACCTACCTATCTACATGCACTATCGCACTGAAATTGCCCCCTACTTTTTTATGTGTGTTGTGCAGAATAAACGCCGATCAAACGCAAATTCAAAAATTTGATCTTGTGTTGAAATTGATAAAGCTCGTATTTGTATTCCGACTTGATTTTTTGGACTTATCCCAGGTGGAGGGCAATACAGCTGTCCACGCGTGTGACATGAGCCATCCTTCTATATGAAAAAGTGTTAATTGCATTTGTGCCATCTTGTAATGTCATACTAGTTATTTTAAAACAAATACCAGATGTCTAAGTGAGAAGTGTAAGTTATTTGAGTCTTTATTGCAGAATTATCCAAGATGCAATTTGACAGAAAAAATATAGGTGCGCTGTTTTGTGGCACTTCCCACTAGACATTGTCCTCGGCACTAAAAATGCAACACTTCCGGAAATTTCAAGCAACCGAAAAAAAAACAGTTATTTTCATACTGTCTGTCAAAATTTACAAAAAATGAAAAAAGAACAAATTATCATTAGGATATGCCAATAGCTTATTTTGAAATGGGAACAGTCATGACTATCATTATGTAAATAATAAAGTAAAATGCTTGCTGTTCTTTCACAAAGAAATGCACGTCTATACTCGGCGACAACTATCTCTGGCAATGAAAAGAAAGCTATGGGGGCGAAGCTACTGCTCCTGTACTCCTCCGCGAAGTAGTGCGGTTCGTCTCACGTTTCAATGACGGCCGAGTGTAGGTAATCTCACTGCACACAATTCGATACGACTGCTTGCACAGCTATTCGCAAGTGTAATTCGACACATGCTCCTTCGGCGAGTCCTCGGAATAGCTGGAGGGTGACGCGCGCTCAACTAAAGACGAAGGCGCCATTTTGAAAGTGAGGCGCATGTAAAACGTGCGATGTTTTCACACGTGCAAAAGCGAGAAGCGACCCTTCAGAAAGCAACCACAGATAAAAATATCTCCTCGATGCGTGCAGCGTCTCTCTACAAACAGCATCCGGTAGAAAATATTGGTGTCTTTTTTATTAGTTTCACGTGGAAAACACGGGCTCATTTGCGGCACTATATTCTACAGTGGTGACACACGCCCACTTTGGCTCCCTACATTTCCCTTACCCCGCCGCGGTGGTCTAGTGGCTAACGTACTTGGCTGCTGACCCGCAAGTCGCGGGTTCGAATTCCGGCTGCGGCGGCTGCATTTCCGATGGAGGCGGAAATGTCGTAGGCCCGTGTGCTCAGATTTGGGTGCACGTTAATGAACCCCAGGTAGTCAAAATTTCCGGAGCGCTCCACTACGGCATCTCTCATAATCATATGGTGGTTTTGGGACGTTCAACCCCACAAGTCAATCAATCAATCTACCCTTCCCTTCATTGTAACAGAAAGTTCTTCCCGAGTACGACAGATCGACGGCACGAAAGAAGCATCCTCACGAACGCGTTTAGTTCTGTCTGAATGGTGCGACGTGCAAGAATAGTTGCGACAGGTGGAACAAATAGCACTTTAATGCTGCTCCGAGGCTATTTTGTCGTTATTTCGACTGCGGAAACATTTATTCAGATCGCGAAAAAGACGAAATTATATACACCTTTTTTTGAGTTGGTATCACTACTTTATCCGTAACACTCTTCGTTGCGTTCAAATTGGTGGGTAGAAAAACATGGTTTTTCACCGTTTTATACACAGCCTGTTGCTATGAACAGAATGAACCTTCATCAAGTCGGACGAGTTTGCCTCAGAAGCAGCTGATTACGATAGAAGCTGTTTAAATATTCGTGCCAGAGGTATCAATCGTTGACTTTTGCAGATTCCCTCCCACCACGTTGAAGGTGGATTGTGGTTAGTAGAACTTCATATTTCGGACGCTGTCCACATGCCTGCATTGGTCCTTGCATCTTGCCATATCTGTTCCGGTGATCCGTTCAGTGCACTCATTTGTATGAAAGTGGAGAGAAAGCACTGAAAGCATACGACAAATCTTTGTACTTATGTTTGTACTAGATGGATACGAAGAATTTGTGGTGAGATTCATTTTTGAATCATTATACTTCTTAAGGTAAACATTCGACGATTACCTGGTAAAGTGTTAAAGGGCACGTTTAAACGTGCCGGCCGTAGAAGTTTCTCATAGCTAAACACATGAGATGCTTCCATAAAAGCGAATGAAAAGCAAACGAGCTCAGCACTGTAAATGCGCACTACCTAGTGCGGATGCACCATCCGTGATGCATTACCATATAAAACGTATGGCTGCTTTACTAAAAAAACAGGTTTAAAGATAGAGTTCAATTATATTGAAGGCGACAGGCCGTAGCGCTTACCTTTTACTTTTTTTGCACATTTTAAAAGAAAGAAAACCTTTTTCTGGTCAGTATGGCTTATTGTCATACCTTCTGAAGAACAGTGAGCTCTCTCCATGAACTCATTCAAATAATTTAAGCGTGCTTGATGACTTACTCTGCGCTCTATCTGCCTCCCTGCACCGGCAGCACGGTGCCGCTTTGCCGGTGTGGGGAAACAGCGGAAGGTTCAGATATACTTACCAAATGACAATAAGGAAAAAAATGTCTAGTGTAACAGTGAAGTGAAATGTGAGCCATAAATTGTCCTAGAAATCGCCTCGTCCTAATTAAACCTACGTTAAATATTATGCGTATCTTACTATAAAATTCTTAACATGACCAATTACCACCTCATTGTGTGAGTTTTTATTTGTAATTGGGTTTCATCTTACACCAGGCGGGGCTCGAACTACGATGTGCTCTTTAAAAAACTAATTTTCCAATAGTGTAGCTGACGTCATAAATATTTTATTTGAACACAAATAAAAGAAATGTAAACGTAGTTCTTTGAATTTATTTCCAAATATTTTTACTTTCACATCTCTTCTGCATTTTAGGAGCGCTCAATGTCGGTGTTTGAAATTGATAAATCGTACAGAAGCGGGTAATAAACGAAACTTGCAATTCGGTAATTTTTGTTGGTGAAGTAATACTACGTTCTGTACATAATACAGCTCTTGAGAAATTTAGGGGCTTCCTGCTTGACAAGGCAGTTTTTTTTATCTACAAGCAATGGAACGTTTGGGAATGCTTTTTTAATGTTCTATTAGATTTTAAAGTTAAGTGGTACAACTAACTCGACCACTTATCTTTTTTTTATGTGTGGCCCAGCACATCCGCCCTAATAGCGTTTCATATAAGACCAAGTAGGGGACCCTCGCACTATTTGGTTTGCGGGAGAACAGTACAACAACAAAAAATCACAACCAATACAACAGCCAGTTGTGATATCACTTAATAATACTCCAATCACAGAGGCGTTTAGCATGTTAGACGGGTTTTTTTAAATGATAAGCATTTTTAGCGAACTTGGCGACTTTGAGCGTAGCTATCTATCAGCGGCTTACGTTTAGGTGCTCTCGTGGTCACCCCCTTATTTTGCATGAACCAAAAATTAGCGTGGAAGGGTAAGATGGTTTGATGAACATGACGCGCCAGTCAAGACATGAATAATTGTACAATCCCGTCACGTACGTCATCAAACACTTCCCGGCAGACAGTGGCATATACCACGGGCGGGTATGTGCCGCTAGTATGCGAATATGTGCCACAGGTGATTGACAATTAGCGTCTACCCAGCAACGACGAGAACACACTTGAGCAATTTTTACGGGCGCTTGTTCAGAAATACCCTACATGGGTAGCGTCGACCTGACCAATGCAAAGAATACATGTCAGGGTCCCAGTTAGAATCGAACCCAAGCATTCTTCGTGGCAATGAAGCATTTCAGCTCAGAGCTACGCCAGGTTTTAGAACTACTTTTCAAATAAACGCTAATCTCACGTCAATAGTGGTTGTAGTGCTGCCTACCCAATTTTATAAACATTGTATACGTACACCTTTGATACAGCCGTCATGTCGGGTTAACGTAAATTCAGGTTAATTGCCATGCGGTTAGGTTGATTTATGTAGCAATGTCCAGGGCCAGCATCTTCGCGAGTATCAGCGCTTCACATCAGCTTCTGGTGTTGCTAATACGCATGTTCTAGTTGGCATCGTTGCGCAAATGTAAACACCTGGTTATATAAACAGCTGCATATCTTCACAATGTGCCTGTGGGTGCAACATTTGTACATATATTTAGTCATTTAATGACGTGTCACTCAACAAAAAATGTGCAACACTGTCACCTTTCCTCCGCATGCTTCGCATAACGTCGATTCCCAGGGTCATGGGATCTGCCGAATTTTTTTCTTCACAATTATCATGCGGAGTACGAAGCAGGATGTTCCAGCTTTATTATTGCATGGATGCTTAGGACTTTCGATCTATTAAAATATGCAGCAAACTTCCCTGGCTGCTTTTACGAATGATATCGTGTGGTATAGAGAAACAGCTATTGACACAGCAGATATGAATTCGCAACATCATTACAAATAAGGGTTGTGTTCGCAATGACAGGCTGGCGCTATTGCGCCGCTTAAAGACACGACTACATCAAGACAATTGGCTTCGCAAGAACGTCTTGTAGGTGAGCTCCGAAAAGTCAATACCTTTTTTGTAACAGATGCTTCTTGTTTCTATTTTTATTTGTGGCTTTTAAGTGCAAAGAGCCTCTTAGCATATAAGCTTCCTTCTTACGTTAACCGTGGGTGGTATTTAAAGCAATATATATGTAGGCTCGTGTTACTTCTTGTTGTAGTAACTTACGAGAGTCGTGTACATATGTCCACTATGCTCTGAGTGAGGACATACAAAAAATTTGCTTCGCTCTGGAGGTATTTATTGCATTCGACGCCAGAAATCGCTAATTTTCTCGAAGGTAACTGAATAACTTTAAAAAATGCAAATAAAGGACGTTGGTGGCCTCCTGCAGCTCATGTGCGTCTTTCTAAGCTGCCACAGTGCCAAATGTGAGTAACATTGATGCACCTAATTTTCCATTCTATATGCAGTTTACAAAGATATGAAAATGTTTTAATGCACCAATAGGTGTTCACTACAAGGCTTGCCATAGGTGCCATTTTTTGCCAGAATATTTTTGTGGATATTCAAGAGCCTGGCTTTGCTAAGGCCTCCTCATAAACTGAAGCTTCGCAACCATCCTAGGATGAAAAACTGAAAAAAAAAACAATAACAGAAACGTTCGTTCTCAAGCATGAAATTATAAAATGATTGTGGCCTAAGAGCCGGTTTTGTCAGTAACTAGAGATTCCTGAAGATGAGTGCAACTCCAATCTTGTTTGTTGCAAGTAATCCATCCCACTCAACTACACTCGTTGGGGATAGATGCCTGCATAGATCTACACAAACTTACTTCGAATGACATCCTTGATAAATGCATTCTCCATGAGAAACATCTCCACTGGCGGCTGGTGTTCAGCACTTGCACGTTACATGGGCGATCAAGTTTTTTCAGCTTCTGCACAACTTACATTGTAAAATTCACAAATTCTACGTACTGCGGAAGCCGTGAGTTTACCGCAATTTACGCAAATGTATCATAAGCTTCAATGACGCGATGTCACGACTTCCATGAGCCGGTATTTACGAAATGTAAATAGTGCTCACCAGAAATTACTTGTATATTGTCGTAGGGTCTAGATTTAATGGAACCTCAGCGTATATTTCGCGAACCTGTGACGACTGACTTACGTTGGAATTGCGATATAAAATTTTTCTACCTGAAGCTTTACGATGGCTGTGGACTGGGTTCGGTATATGTTTTATTTAAATAACCACTTATATTCGAATTGCATTGCATAAGTTCCAAAGATAACGCTGTACTTTGGAAAGAGGAGAGGGCCGGATTTCAAATAATTATTCTCGAGTGTCTAGAAAGGAGAAATGTTGCTAAGAAATGTGTTTTTAAACTCAGTTGAGCCATTGTTGTTTAAAACAACTTTTGCATTGGGTAAGCACAACAAAGAGTAACTCACCGTTAGTCTGAAACTCGTGCTTCCTATAACACGAACCACCTGACAATGACAAGCTTACCAAATGTTTACAAAAATTGTTGTATAAAGGGACACAAAAAAGTCCGAAAGTTCTGTAAGCTTGAAGCTCCACTATCATATGATCATGGCCCCTTTGTCTCCTATATGAATGAGGCAATATTGCTGTTCCAGACAAATTGTGGTAACCTATTACACTGAGCTAACAAGGCACTATGATAATCAAACAAAATAATTGAGCAATGGCTAATGCTCTAAAATACTTGCAAAGAATAGTTCTCAATATTCCGCAGTGTGCAAACGGTTATCATTGAGTTACTGCAGGCACGAACGTAGGCTGCGTAATTTTATACTTATCCATAGATTCTATACACCTATTTTAATATTATTATGCTTGACGTTACAGTACTAATGACTACGGCTATGCCAATATTTATTGTATTTATTTATTTATTTATTTAACAATACTGCCTATCTCATCAGAGATTATAGCAGGGAAGGCATATGAAAACGAATATTTGTTTACACAGATTCATATTGGTAGAAAACACAAAAAAAGCCGGTATTACAATATGACATGCAAATCGTAGGTTATACATTGCCGTTAAAGAACACGCAATCAAACAATTTTAGTAATAGAAAAACAAAATCATGAACTAGGTTATCGTTGAAAACGACCGCGAAAAGATAATGCATGCATTTGTAATATGGGGTAGAGAAAACAAGTAGGCATTTTTATTGAATAACTTATTCAAATAATTTTATGAACAATAAACTAATCGAAAAAACATGTCACTTGAAATTAAGAATCATAAAAAACAAAACTTTTGTATTAGCAATATGACACTGACTCGTTTATTTCATACAGTGATAATGAGTATAATGAGAAACAAAATGAAGGACATGTTTCGATACATCAACGTACCACCATACTGTAGCACTGATTCAAACGAAACTCGACCAATAACACTCTGTCAGGGTCTCAGACGGAATCGACATAGAACGTGCAGCAAGGCTTGATACCTTTCACCATTGCCAAATTGTTTTGACACTGGGAAGGGAATTATCATTTTAGTCAGTGCCAAGCAGAACTGTACCGACGCGTTTTTCGTACACTTTTGTCAGTGAACACTTTGAAGAAAGGAGAAATTATCATTATTTGGTTATTGGTAAAAAAAGCGCGTGCAATGATAGGGTTGCTGCCTTCAGGTGGAATGGGAATGTTTATTGGTAAAATGCCTCCAGCTGAAATACCCGCTCCGCAGTGCACCACACAGCAAAAGTACATTTTCTATTTAATACCAGGGCCACCATTGGAGCTGCTTAGTACGCAAAGGCAGATTATTTCGCCTATTTTCTGTTCTCATATATTTTGATAACACTGACAAGCTAACAGCTTTGGTGTAATGCGCGTAGACTGTAGGCTGTATTGGGCTGCAATATATTGGGCTACAACTGGTACAATTAGCGTTCACACCTCCTCTGAACCCGCCTCAGTATAGCATTCTTACATATCAGCCGGATGATGTATACTTTCCCCCTTAACTTTTTCCTGTTTATTAGCTATTGAATTAGAAATAAGACAGAAGCAATACGGTCATTAGTTCGGCCTTTTGTTTTTCGACTAATGTGCAGGTGGCTTAAAAAGTAAAGAGTAGTGCATGTAGAAACTTCATTTCTCAGCACTTTTGTTACTGTGTTCGGTTGAGCTATACCCAACACCATAGGACGTTTTAAACAGAGAAGAAAATACGAAATCCAAGCCACCTGTCCAAGCTTCAGGAACAGTAAACCTTTTCTTGTGTAATGTTGCTTTTGCCTTTTTGATGCTACCTGCGCATCACAAGTTTTTCAGATTGTTGATCATACATGCGCTGGAAATATATATATATATATATCTATATATATATATATATATATATATATATATATATATATATATATATATATATATATATTTCCATTCAGAACAGATTTCCACTTTACTCCTTCATCCTACAAAGAATTGCAGCACGTAATTCATTCCTTCATTCGTATTACGAAGCAAGCGAGTGATAGTTGAATAGTAGTTTTCTCACTGTAAGATTGCTACCGTTACTTTAGGTAGAATTAAAAAAAATCCGAGATTCATGCCGGCTTCGAACAAGTACGCAACTATATTTCGAAATATGGCTCACGTTTGCCGTCTGCTGTAGGCTTTTAGGTCATAGTAATTTAGAAAATTTGCTGACTGACTGACATAAGTTCTTTCACGTTGTGTGTGTTTGTAAGTATAGAGGAGTTTTTAATCATATTTTAGTGAATCTATCGATCAATAAACCACAGTGCATATCTTTTTCAAATGTGTTTTCCGCTGCTTCTTTTAAGACTGCTGTGAATGCTTTATACAGGTAGAGCTGTTTCAGTTTACAGGTTACTGCGATTTACCACTCATCTTACTTCGATGTACAGCTGCTGATTGCTGGCATCTACGTGCAAAAAAACCGACAAGGAAAATGATGCCAATATCGAAATCAGGCGAAATGCATTATTTGTTTTACTTGCGAGGCTCCCCTTGAAAATCTATTTGTCACTTATCTAGTATCTATATTTTCTATGAAACGTAGTTGGCATAACCAGTCTTTTATATTCTTATTGCAGTACCAAAATACCAGGCTGTCGTTTACCCTGAACTACTTGAAGAGCGTGATGATGAAGGCATTACGGTTCTCAAAATTAACGATGATATCACTCTGAACCTAAAACCAAGCTCTGTCCTACACCCGGAGTTCTTTTTGAGAACGTATCGCGAAGGAGTTCCTCAGCACACTTACGTGAGTGTTAACTATGAGTTTTATTTGGTAAGCTTTGCATTTCTCAATAAACTATATTTATTGAGTTTTTACTTTGATGACATCGTAAACTCTCTAAAGTGAATATAATTAGTTTCTATTTTAAGCGCAACTACTTATGCCAGAAACACTTGACTACCCACGTGTTCTGCGGGCAATCGCAGAGGACATATCACAACACATTCTTTTATCACTGTTGTTATAAGTGCGTTTCCGGCAAACACATGTGGTGCGGTAAATCATTGCCCATTTTTAAAGGGCATTGTCTTTCTTTCCAGTTCAATGTCGATGCTCTGGAAAAAAATTTGTATGACGACGAAAAGAGGTTTGCAGCAGTTATTATGACTGAAGAAGATGGTGCATTACAAGTGGTAAGTTCAATTAGGATGAGACCTGAGCTAGTTGGTGTCTGATACTTATACCGTAAGTTTAGGTAGCGCTCTTTTGAACATAGACAACAGGAACAAGAACGCCAATAGTGGGCGTCGCGCTCTTCCTGTCCCTGTTCTCTTTGTTAAAGAGTGCGCTACCTAACCTTACGGTACAATTGGGAGAGTTTACTCGAGGATATTAACGGAACTTAAGAAAGGAGAAATTCAGGTGGGCTACAATACAAATACTAGTTATTCTGCTTACCACGAAGATCCAACTTCCGATAACAGTGGTGATTTTGAGTAGCGCTACCGAATGTCACATATACCACCTTGCTGTTTAGGATCACTTAGTACCACAAGTTCAACTGTGGAAGTAATGACCCGCTGAAATACTGCAGCTGATTCTACATACAGTGTTTTTTACGACAAAATAATCATTAGGTGACGAAGTATTGACTGATCCCATGATCTCCATATCTCAACTAATCTGCCCTTAGCTTAGCTATACAAGGGAGTTACTGCCAACATAACACTAATATGAAACATTAAGAATCTTTGCCAGTTTGCAAACATTGAGTCTGTACAAAATCTTATGTATCGGAATTGAAAAAAAAAAATGATTCGCCACAACGCATGTGGTCATGCGAGTGTGCGATAATAATACAAAATCAGCTCACTCACTGCAGAGAGAAGGGGGGGGGGGGTGGCTAACGACTTTGGTGTTTTATATCCCTAAAAAGGCCAATTTTATGTACAGAGGAAGAGGAGAAAGAGGAAAAAATATTAAGCGGAAGGATAGGGAGGTTAGCCAGTTCTTAGACCAGCTGGCTACCCTGTGCTGTGGAAAGGGGTGAGGGGAATAAGGGATGATGGAAAAGAAATGCTCCAAAGAGGGCGAGAGAGAAAATACAAAAAATAGCGAAAAAGTACGGGCAAAATCAAAGAGAATAAGACACCAAAGTTTGTCTCTGATGTCAGTTGTCCGCATGAAGCGTAACAAAGCTTTCAAAGCCTTCAGGGCTGACGATGGGCTCGGTAAATTAACGAGAATTGTTGTTCCGACAAAGGCAGATCATCTAGTCTATCGAGAGCTTCAGGTAGTTCTTGTCTTGACGCGTTGAAATGGGTACGTTGAAGGAGGAACTAAATGATAGACTAAAGAGACGAACCAGGATTGTGAACTGTGCGGACAATTAGTCATTTCCTCACAGAAAAATCACAACGTGGCCGTTTACCAAAAAGCAAAGATTTGTACGGGGAACCGCAACACTATACTCATGGATCACCACTTAGAGGCCTGTTTTGAAAATATTGTGAATGACGGACGCTTTTCTACGTGACTATACACTTGAGTACGTGCACGTTTTGCTGATTATAGGCAGCCTTATGTGTGAGAGTACACATCTATTCCTGGTCAGCATGATAACAGCTTAGCTTTAGAGCTATCTCGAAGAGACACAGATCTCCAGTAAGTACTTCAATAATGAACGCTACCTCTAAAACTATTTCAACTTCTTCTTGACTTCATTAAAATCACTTGCGAATAACTTCAACGGACTATTTCGACTCCACTTTGACCACGCATCCAACTGAATGAGTGAACTAGGCAATTAATATTATTGCAGAGTAAGTTTGCTACTTTGCAGCACGCCCCGACGCGGTGGTCTAGTGGCTGAGGTACTCGGCTGCTGACCTACAGGTCGCGGGTTCCAATCCCGGCTGCAGCGGCTGCATTTCCGATGGAGGCGGCAATGTTGTAGGCCCGTGTGCTCAGATTTGGGTGCACTAAAGAACCCCAGGTGGTCGAAAATTCCGGAGCCCTCCACTACGGCGTCTCTCATGATCATATGGTGGTTTAGGAACGTTAAACACCAAATATAAATCAATCATCAACTTTGTAGCAGTACTATAGCAATCTGTGTAGGCATGTAACGAATTTGGTTCAAGGTGAACACACGTACACAAAAATAATCGCTTTTAGCCTGTTGGGAGGGGATGTAACCAAATTTGTACCCTGGTTCAATAATGTTCGCCAAGCTACAATCATCTAATGGAGTAAAAATACAATAGTATTTCACGCCGGTGTTCACGAAAATTTTAGTAACGCATTGCTGTCACGGAAGTGACGTCAAAAGTGCACACAATCACAGCACAAAGTTCCCTTTAAGGGAGTGCACTGAAAAAAAAAAGATGGTAAAAAGGTTAGTTACACACAAATAATTGTCATCTATCTTACGTAATTTCCTTGCACTAACACCGCGCGCCTGGCCATCTTCGGCCACAAACAACATGCACATTATCACTATAACATTGCTTTCTTGATAGGAAAGTGGCCAGCGACGAGTTTTTAAGAGAAGCGCGAGTAAGCCGGATAATGAATATTGTTGTGGGATAAAATGACAACGGTTTTACTGAACCAATGTGGCCGACTCCGTCGCTCTCAACAGCTCCGGTGGTTCATTAGGTGTAGCCCACCCACGAGGCCCCCGCTCGAAAGTCGTGGCTTCGTGGCTCCAATGTGAAAGCTATCGGTGTCTCAATGATAGTTTTTTTTTTCAGGAGGCGTTCTTATAATTTTTACTCTAATATATGTGACATGTGCTAGAGGTTTTCATGCCATTTTTAGTTGTATCATGGGTGGCGTATCTGACTTCTGTCAGTTGATGAGTAGTATTGTTTGAAAATCCAACCTTTTACAGAAAGGTGTCGTCGGCCCTAACTTGAAAATTTTGCCGGCAATGGGAATGGAGCGCTCAGAAGAGGGTCATATTGCTCATGTTCTAGAAACGATTCATGATAGCGACTCCGACTATGCATATGGTGCGTACTATTATGTTCGTCTTTTAGAGTACATCATTGTTTCCGCATTTTCAGGTTGCATAGTCTTAGTACGGATTGATTGAGAACAAAGATGCATGTACATGCAATTATACAGAATATATTACTGCCAATTGCGGCTTCTCACTTTTCATCTGTTTGCCTTTAGTTTTGCACAGAGAGAAATTATATCCCATATTTTATAAAAATGTACCTTTATCGGCACCGTCTTATTAAGTTTTTTTTTGGTCCCGAATAAGCTAACCTGACGGCGAGTATCTCAGGCATACCACACCAATGATGTAGTGTATGTCGTCCATCAAGTATTTTCTTTATTTGTTGCCATGAGTGGGAAAATATTTCACTCCACCATTAACGCTCAAAATAAGAATGAGCTAAGCTTTCGATTGCAGGCAAATTTCCAGAAGAAAAGATGGCGAAGCTATCAGCCCGAAGTCTGGCACTTGATTCAAGTAAGTAACTTATATTGTTCAGAATATGTGCAAATGAGCGGCTTGAAATGTCTAGTCATTGCACGCTCATCGCTGTTACCCGGTAGTATCATAAGTGCTGTTGATGCTGATATAGGTATTATGTGTAATAATAACTATATTATGAATATATTTACAATATTAGCAGTACTATTATTATTAGTATTACTATTAATAATAATAATATTATTCCAACAATGCCAGATAATCACTGTCATCAATTCACTGCCGATGAAGTGTCGCTGATATGTTTTAATTTTTAGCAAACTAGTTCAGGGTTTCATATCCTGCCCTTTACTGCTCATTTATGCAAATTTTTGGATTCCACGTAAATGAAGAAGAGAGAATCGAGCATTTCATGTACCTGCCAAGTTTTTTCAGCGCTCTAGCTGTTTACAAAATACGAAGTTTGTATAATGTTAACTTAACTGATCTTGATCTTTTTCACAGTCCACTATCATTGTTTTATTGTTTGTCTTAACTTGGTTTTTCACAATGTGCAGATTCTTCCTGATTTTGTGTTTCAGGAAGGTTTCTGCATAGTTGTGAACATTCATTTCTCGTCATTTTTTATTTTCTTTGTATTATTCTTGTCTTGTCTCTCTATTTTTCCCATTTTGCACTGATTTCTTTTTGTGTGTTTTCACTCTTTTTATCTGATTTTTGTGAAGAGTCTCTGTATCGTAATATTATTTTTTTGTATTTTCTCCTTTATGCGTGCGCCAGCACTAAGACCACATCTTTGTTCTAGGGCACAATAAACAAACGATTCACTGATTGAGTGATTATTAAAATAATAATAACAATATTATAATGATAATGCTATTAATATTTTATTCGTTATATTATTATTATTATTATTATTATTATTATTATTAGTAGTAGTAGTAGTAGTAGTAGTAGTAGTAGTAGTAGTAGTAAGAGTAATAGTAGCACCCCGGTTCTCTGCCAGCAATTGAGAAGCAAGTAGAAGTGTATATATTCCAAAAACTTTTAATGCACTACCTTACGAATTTTTTCAGCGAGTTCAAAAAGGCAATTAAAGAAATTACTCGCTGAGCTGTAAAATCACATGGTCTATTTGTATGCCACTTATGCTCTGTGTCCTTCCTTTGTTCGTCTTTTTTATTTACTGCCTGTAAAAAGTTATGGTGGTAATCGTATGTCTGTTCGATGGTAAGGAAACAACAATAGTTTTGTTACCTTGTATCCACATCGCTGTAACCGGCTGTGCCAGGCCGAGTCGCACAAGTCCTGGGGGCTTAGACAGGCCCGTTTTTTTTTGTATTTCTTATGGATGTGTACAATAAAGTACTATCATTATTATTATATAATTATTATTATTATTATTATTATTATTATTATTATTATTATTATTATTATTATTATTATTATTATTATTATTATTATTATTATTATTATTATTATTATTATTATTATTATTATTATTATTATTATTATTATTATTATTATTATTGGAACCATGAGTCAATGTCTCGTTTTGTGTAAATTCCGAATTCATAAAAATTCCCAAGCAACGTAGGTTTCACCCACCAGTAAAAGTGCGCGATTGGGGATGAGGAACGTGGCTTAAACCGGCAAACCCATTCCCGACGCACGGAAGGTGCCTGCCATAGCATCCCCCTGTGTGCGAAGAGTGCTCTTCGATTGCTACTCAAGCAGAGAAGAAAGGGGCCGTCCGTCTCGAAGGAGCCTGGATGAACGTGGGAAGGGCGAGGCGTGTGTCTCTTGAGCGGCAATTGTGAACTTTGGTCGCCAGGGTGCAGTGGCGATTGCTGGCACGTGCGTTACCTCTACATGCGAATTGTATACTCTTTTACGTGATCAAGGAAGCGAAAAAAACAGCGCGTAACACAGGACAGCAAGAGAGACGGACGAAGCACTGAACTTACAACCAAGGTCTATTTCATACATGGGTGTATATATAGCACACAAAATTTGAAAAGGAGAGAGAGGAGAAGAGGGACGTGAAAGAGTAAGTTTTGTTATGTTTGTATGCCTCTGAAAAAACTGTTACTACGCAATCATTCACTTCTGAAATACGCAAATTCCCTGGTGAGCCACATTATCGAAGGTGCACTGACACATATATTACCTTTCTTGCTAATGCAGACCGCCTCATAAATTTCACGTGCTCGTTGATCTCTGTAGCATCGAAGCATCTTGCATTGATCAAACAGTGCACCTTCAATAACGCTCTTCACCAGAAATTTGCGTGTTTGACTAGTGGATTATTGCGTATTCACAGTTTTTTCAGAAGCATACAAACATAACAAAAGCTACTCTTTCATGTCAGTCTTCTCCCCTCCCTCCTCTTCAAGTTTTTTGTGCCATATATACCCCCATGTAAGAAATCAACTTAGTTTGTCAGTTCAGCGCTTCGTCCGTCTCTCTCATCATACTGTGTTATGCACTGTTTTTTCGCTTTCTTGATCACGTAACAAATGACCTAAATAAGCGTTTAGTACAGTTCTTTTACGTGCTGTGCTTTGAAAGTAAAAGATACTGTGCGAAAACCGCAACCTTCCCTAGAGCGGTGGTGTTCTCTTGCATCCACCATTTCAGGGGCGAAGCTCCTTATAGTATACCCTCACGCGTAACCGAGAGAGGAAGGGACGACAAAGAAAAGAAGGCAAAAGAAATGAATGACCAGTTTCCATCTCATTTCATTGATGGCGTTACTCTGCCGCTACTCTTCTAAGTGTCGCTTCTTTCCAATTGGCTGCTTGCTGCGCGTGCTTCGCCAATGAGAGACTTTCAATCTCATGGATAGTCACCGTACGAGGCGGACCATTGGTGTTGCAAAAACGGAACAGAGCAGCGGGCGCGTTTAAGACGCTTGCACTCACCTTCCTCGGCTCGTGTCTCGTCGGTATTACCCCTATCCCATCTGCATTCTCGAACGCGATCGCACGCATGGACGCATGCACCGTTGGACGGGCACGCGCACGGATAGACAGACGAGTGGTTCACCCCTCTCATCATCATTCACTCTGTGCTGTGATTTCTTTTTAAGTTACGTGTGTTCGTATTCGAAAGAGCTAGCTGTCATCATTAGTTCGTGTAACATTTCACTTTGCTTTTCTCGCATTTATTGCTTTATTCTTGCTTTGAAAGTGTGTATATTATTACTAATATCATCATTATTATTATTAATACTATTCTGCTCTACACTGTCTTGAAATAGTTTTCTACAATGCACAGATTATTTCCTTTCCTATCATTTAGGAACGTTCAAACATAGTAGCATATATTCCCCATTATTTTTACCTTTTTTTCATGATTCTCATATTGTCTTTTTATTCTGCCCAGTTTGCGCTGCTTTTTTTCACTGTGTCTTTTCACTCTCTATATCGTTTTTTTTTCTGAAGAGTGTCTTTATTGTATTGTTGTTTCTATGCTTTTAATTTTCCGTGTGCCTGCCAAAAGACATCAACGTTTTCCCACGGCAAGTTAAAAAAGGCTTAAAATATTTTTATTACTACTATTATTATTATTGACATTTCATTAACACGTTAACTCAAAATATTGATTTCAGCTTCATATAACATCGAAATTGTCTACCCGGAGGTATTGGTGGTTGTTGACCAAACGTTTTTCAGGGAATTCCGAAGTAAAGAAGACATGCTGTACTACATGCTGGTCGAATTTAGAGTGGTGAGTGGAAGATTAGATACTCTGAAATGCCATGCATTCAGTAATACTTATTATCATTTTTAGGTTGTGCTCCGTTATAAGACAGTCAATAATCCTAAAATATGCCCCGTCTTCCGCGCCATTGAAATAAGTGAGGTAAGTAATCACTCTTGATTGCATGTGCAAAATTTATTGTATGCCACAATCAAGCATGCTTCCGCAGTTTTTATAATTTATTGCAATTGTGCCTTCTTGTACCTTGAAAAAATTGTCAGAAGCTCATTTGGTTGTAGCACGGGGCCTTGGGAAGCTAAAAACTAATTGAAGTTACCAGCGTTAAACAATTATTATTAGGACCGTTCCTATATATTGAACACGGTAGTGTGTTGTTATGCTTGGTAAACGTAAGCAATAAACTTTTTCCACTCTATGCTCGCTGTACGCAAGCCACTTCCTGGCAGTTGGGTTTTAAGTTTGTTTTTTCATGGTCCTCACCTCTGCCTGAGCTCAGACATGTGAACCCCCTGAAACGGTCGCGTAAAACGACAAAGTTCACATTGATATTTCAACACTTGCGAGCCTTAATTGCAAAAGACTTTAGAGTTCTTACCGTTTATGGGTGCTTGACAAAGATATAAAGCAACCATGTACTTGGGGCGCTGGTGCTGCTTGAGTTTTCGTAGGCCAAAAGCCAGGCTACTGATTGCTTTTCGTTTCTACTAGTAGGTTGTAGGGTTGTGGACTAAGCATAACAAAGTATTATTTATGTGAAAAAAGTAGGACAGAAGGCGTAGAGTTCACAAAGCATGTATCATAATTTTAACTGATGGAATGTGTGTAAACTCCGTCGTGTTATGTTTTCACCCGATATTAAAAAATTTAGGTTTTTCTGCGAAACTTGTTTTATCGTTATAAAATAAAAACATAGTGCAATAATTAAGGGGCACAAGAAGACGTCAGAAGGGATCACCCCATCTTCTTGTCTTTTAATGGCGCAAGTATGCTGGTATCATAACAATAATAATTGCGAATTTCGTCCCTGAGTTTCACCCGACCAGGTTCCAAACAATTTTGACATTCCGTAGAAAGTGAAGCTTAGAGAAAAGCAATGCTAGTTTTGCAATACCTTTATTTATTCTTGAAGTATAGTCTCGAGGACGATTTGGTATTGCAGGATGATTAATCATATTTCAGTTTTATTCCTCTCTTTTGAAGTATTTTATGGCCTCGTTAGTCATTATTTATTTCCGATAGATTACTTTCTTTCTGAAGCAGAAGGACATGTACGAATTGTGGACAATAACGCGAGGATTGCGTTTAGATTACAATGTGACCCCTCAAATACTATACCTTTGTGTGACATCAGCAGCATTTATGAGGTTTTATAGGATTTCAGCAACCGGTATCTGTTTCGCTGACCTGCTTGAAAACTGGAATGACGGCCTTACGCTGCCCAGTGCATGTGCGGATATTGATCGTAATTGCCCTTGCTGTAGTTACTGCCAGTGGAAAAGTGTGAGGACAGTCAAATAGATGGAGAGTTTTAGGAGCTCGCGTGCCATCTTGCCCCGTGCTCAGTCCATCAGAATGCTGTGAAGACACGGGTGGTTTGCGTCAGCTGTCATACCGGTGATGTACTGCAGGTGCAATGCTACGCAAGCCGATATTTTTGGTGCTGTAGTGTGTCCTATTTCCTCAAGGCCCAGCATAACGGTCGTTCTAAATTCGATTTTTTTTCTGCTGTGTGTACTTTCTACTGTCACGTTATTCCTGCAAACATCTCTATCAAATCTGCCCACCTATATCTATGTCCTCGTATCACACGTTTGTATATTTTAGAATCGAGGCAGTTACCCTTAATGCCAGCAGCTTTTCTGCCGACGTACTACGTGTCCAGTCTATGTTCATTTGTTGTCCATGATTTCAACTATAATTAACCGCCTTTGCTCCATGACCCTTTTTACTCTCTTCCTTCCTCTTGAAGTTACATCTACTATTTTTCTTTCCATCTCTTTTTGTGTCGTTCTATATTTAGGTTTTACCCTATTTGTAAGCCTTCAGGTTTCTGCTCCGTAGGTAAGATAACATTGAGCTTTTATATACTTTCCTCTTGCGGTACAGTAGTAGAAAACCATTTTTTATTTCAAAATTCTTGTCCACGGTGCTCCTTTAGTTCTTATTCATCTAGTTATTTCACCCTTATGGTTCAGCTCCACGTTTACCACATATGCTAAGTAGATGTATTTATTTACAGATTCCAGTGTCTCGCCACCTACTGCAAAGCGTTATTTTCTGCCGAGACTGTTGCACATTACTATAGTTTTATCTATATTTCAAACGTAATTAAAATAGGCAATTGCAGATATTTTAAATGTATTTTCTAACCTACTCATCTGTTTTCCGTTCACATTCAGTAATTATAAGCTGTAATTCGTCCCCTGATTTACCCGTCAATGCTTCGTCCCCAGCGATTCGCAAAATACTACAGCCTCTCATTGTAGCTGTTTCAGCTTATGAATGTTGTCACCCTTCAAATTCTATCCAGTCATCTTTACGACTTGTCGATGGATTAACTGTAACCCGCTTCACGCCTAAATCACCTGCCTGATAAAATCCAACCAAGTGTGCCCGTGCCCTCACCTAAAAAGTCTTGCGATGCAGTGTGTGCCACATCAATATAAAGTGGCAGCGCTACCCGGTCATTCCAGACACTCAAGCGGCGCCATGTTGCCATGATCTGAAACTGTCACACGGTGACAAAACTGCGACGCAGTTTGGTTTCTCAGTAGTGATAAACCAATGATCGCGTCTTCACGCTCTGCGACGCTGACATAAACGCTCGCGACATCACCATCTTGTTCGCCATTTCGACCTTCCGCTGCGCCGCCGATAGTCGCTGGAATGGTCGATTACCCACCAAAAGCACCGTTCACCTACATGCACGACCACTTTGCTTCACACCTCCATCAAGGAGTGTGTGCCTCAATAATCATCGGTAATGAGAGCATAGATTCAGCTTTCTGTGAAAGGTTGTGTCATCTTAGATTTTCTTCTCACTCTCGCCCACTTTGACTCACACGTATCTCACATGGATGCATTGAGAGCAATCTGTCACGTGGCTGGGCAGTGGAGAATGTCACCACGAGGCCACATTCTAAAGACAGAATGTGCTAGGCACTCTCTTTGGAACAGTACTTTTTGTGGCCCATATTTCACTCTTTTCCAAAGTAAATCGCCTGTTTGGGGGCAGGGTATAGTGATTTCTTAAGAAATAGTCAAATCACTCCACCTCAAAAGAGTAAGATAGCGCTGCCCAAGGCCAAGTAGCATGAGCACTGCGAAGCGAGTACTAGTACATTTCGTGAAAAGAAATAAAATGGTAGCTTTACGGCCAAAATTGGCCTTCCTAACTGTTATCCTAGCACGCAGACTTAATAAATGGGGAAATACGAGAACTACGAAAACTAAAAAAGGAAAAGCGAAAAAAAAAATGACTGAGTGAGACTCAAACCTCTGATCGCTAGGTGTTCATCAGATTGCGAGCCTGACAGACTAACCACTACACCACGCTGGGAGACGGTACATCAGCGTTTCCTTGTTCATATTGTCACGGGTTTAAACATGGATGAAAAAAAAGATTCGATGTTCTCATGAAACTGTTTAATCAGTCTAACTTGTGGCCAGTAAATGGAAAGTCGGATTACAGCAACGCAATTGCACAGAAAGCGGCGAACAGAGCGTCGGCCGTCGATCTACTGACGAGCGGCGAAGTGCGTCAGCTTTTATACATGTGCTGTTGAATATTCCAGTCTCCTCACTCGTCGTCACGCAAGCTCTGCAATAATCTGGAGCGTTCGTGTCTTGCGGGAAATTTTGACAGAACGATCGACAATGAATGCGAACCTTCTCGAACAAGGAGGCGCAGTTTTCGCTGAGCATTCCTGAACCAGGCTTTGTGGGCGAGAACCAAATCTAACAAAATCGAAAAAAACGTGGGTTGCAATATCATAGGCTATGTTTATGCTCTGTCTGCATTTTTTTGTTTAGAAGCACACAATTTAATGTATCCGCTCTTGTAATCACCAACCAATTTCTTTGTTTCATGTACTTGTTTTTTGCTTCGTGTGATCAGAGCGTCCATTCGGTGCGTTTTACAGTAAAAACAAGCGCAATCAGGTATATGAATGTCTTTTTCACTGACTCTCTAAGTGGTTAGTCATTCTTCTATACTAAAAATCGCGATTCTGAAGTGTACGCTGAACAAGTCAGGTTTTTCGCCCCCTTGGATATATGCTCTGTTATTCTTGTTCACGTTCCATGGCTAAAGCCACAACAGTTCTCTCTAGCCATACCATACGTTAGGCTTGTGGCAGGATCCCCCCATGCGCGACTTCAGTAGCGGAAAACATGAACAATATTACAAAAAGAATGTAAGAGTTGTTATCAATATAGTTTTAATCAAGACCAATTTAATAAAGCCATTCTCTCATATCACTACATTGACCCGAAGTTAAAAACATGGATATAAAGAGTTCCCGGTGCCTTCCAGTAGGCTGAAATTTACTGGAAGCGCTAGAAACGCTGTTTTCTTGCGCTGTTCTTTTTGTTAAATACAAATGTATTCCTTACTAAGGCTATGTCAGGCGTCCGGCGTTGTTCGTTGCGGTGTTCGCGCCGGCAAATATTATCTCTCTGAATTCACTCCCTCTTCCATAGCAACAGCAGTGGGCGCGCACGCCTGTCCTCGCTACTACCAACCAGAGCATGCAGTGCAAGAGCGGGAAGAAGAAAGTAGGTGCAGTGGTTTTTCATTTTTTCTCTCGCCGTTCGCTCTCTCTCCTCTCTGCGCCTCACTCTTTTATCCGCTCACACCCGACTCTCGACCATTGGCTCGCTTGGCGCCTCTCAATGACATCTGGAAATGTGTGCTCGAGACACCGCTGTAAAACTTGAACGCCAAGCCCAGAACTCTGGCGCTCTCCTCTCCCGTTCACTCGGTCCTCACTCTCTACCGTTCCCTTGCTGGGTACCACTCAAGGCGGTTGCAGAAGTTGGTGAAGGCGAATGTCTTACGAAAATGGTACCCTCTCTCTGTGAAGGAAATGCATTCGATTTTCCACATGATTTTCTACGGAGAGGTGGGAGCATTCTTTTATTGTATCTAACCACACAACAAATGCAGCCTCTTTACTGCGTGTATGCGTGGTTAGTAAGCAGTGCTAATCACTCACCGGCACATCGATATACACATCTGAAGCAGGAGTAGGATCACGTTTTACTCTCTCCTGCCTGAAAAGTAGATGGACCTTCTATTCTCTCAAAGAGAGGTAGAGTAGAAAGCAGATTTACTTTGCCCTTTTATACTCTATCCGACGTTTCGCGAGAGTCCAAGAACACTCTGTAGGGTTACTTTGCCTTTTTACCCCACCAAAAACTTTTGCATTTTTAGAGTGTAGGAACTTCATAACTCTCAATTTGGGTTGAACTTGTGCCCCAAAACAGTATATCAAAGCCAAAACACAGTAAACTTGTGCCACCCACTGATACGAGCGAGAAGTGTCATCGGCATTCGAGTAATACGATCAGTGGTAAGACGCATCGGCACTTAAACATCTGGCATCAAAGATTCCAGTATTATTGCGGGCAGCTGCGTTAGCCGCAGACAGGGTGGCCACTGCTGGCTACTTGGCTTCAAATTGTTTACTTTAAAACTCAGTCTGACTACAAAAAATTGATGTTGGCCCCATGGCTACTTTTACCACATTATACTGAAGTTTAGGCGCATTTAAACTCAATTTTATTACTATTTGCGGGTGAAAGAACAAGAGGTCATAAACATGAACGACTGTTTTGAACAGCTTCCGCAATGTAAGCTTATGCGCGCACTGGTCTTGCCCCTACCAAGAGGCTCACCAAAGCACCGCCCAGTAAATAAAATATTGATATGTAGGATTTACCAGGTGAAACCACCATTTGATTATTAGAGATGCAGTAGCGGAGAGCTCCGGAAATTTTGACCACTTGGGTTTCTTAACGTGTACCCAAATCTGAGCACACGGGCCTACAGCATTTTCGCCTCCATTGAAAAGTAAATCAAATATTACACAAAAAAAGATGGCCAGTTATAGTGGTAACTGTAGTAATAAATTTGGATGAGTGACTGCAAGAAAAATCAGATTGGCCGTTTACCGTTTCCACTTAATTGTTGGCGAGAATGCTTCATTCAATATTTACCTGCCTCTGGGAATAACTATCCTGCATAAGTATACACAAACGTACTAAACATGCACTGGCTAATGCGATGTAGTAGCTGCGTCACAGGGTACAAATTATGATTTATAGTAGTATATCTCACGAAATGAAAGGTTATTCGTCTCCAGGAACACAAAATCCCTGCATACTTACCTCCTGCACAGAGTGGATTGAAAACTCGCAACTTGTCTGAAAATTTCCAAGCTCATATGCCGTGCAATATTAACAGGATGGCGATAAATTTCCATCTTTCTACAACCACACTTCTAACTTAACAGCCACAAAATTCCTCCGGTCAGCTCTCGGCCTAGCACTAAGTCAAACGCTTCACTACTTAAGCTCATTTCTTATAATATAGCAGCAAAACGTGCTGTATATCCTACAGTTATCTCCACTGAAATATGGGTGATCCCTTTGGTTAGCTCTCTGAGGTAATATCATTTTGTAAAACGAGAAGGTTACATGTGTGTTGAAAGTATATTCATTGTTTTTTTACTCACTCCAATTTGTTAGTTTTTGAGTTCATGCTACGCGCACTCTCCTCAGCAACGCTTTTGGCCTTGCGGGTACACAAACAGGTAAATGACTCCGATGTTCAGACCTTACCTGTGGCTTGAAGCAAGGTGAAAGTTACAATGGCTCTATTCCTGTTTTTTGTATACTGAAAATTACACATATTTAAAAAATCTATTCATAATAACGTTTTCTTCTATTTGGCGGTAAATAGTGTTAAAGGGCATGGATAAGGTTAAATGACTTGGCTACTTTGGCTACTTTAGCTTGAATTTCGGCTTTATTTTAAGCTCTACCTAACGTCAACCTTCATTTAGAAATAAATTATACGTTGGCATTGCGCGGTCAAGCTTATTAAAAACAACAAAAGAATGAGAAATGATTGACATTCCCAAGTTTCCACATTTACGACGTTCCATTCGGTGCAACGTAGTGTGTGTAAATGTAAAACATCTGTTAAATGAATATAGATTAGAATATGGCGTGGTGGTATATTTTTTTCTAACACAATGCTAGATTATCGAAATATAATAACCACTTTTTGGCTGTCCGTGATATCGTACAGAAATGACGCGGTTCTACCATTTTTGGGGCTCTGAGAGGGGTGGCGATAGGTTAACTTTATCTGAAAAAAAATTCTGGAACTGTATACGCATCTAAGCATTCCCAAACTGATTTACTCATTTGCATTCAATCTGCCTTTGATGACAATGCGCTATGAATCATTGTTTTTTTCAGTACGATCAAGAAGGAAGGTATTTCCGTTATATAGGTGCTGGACTTGACGCTCTTAAATCACTCTACGCTATTGTTGAATTTGTTAAAAAAAACGACGAGTTATACGGAAAGTACGACTTGGTGTACTTCACAACCGGGTAAGAAGAAGCTTGCGTATATTTGACAATTTCAGATGCGTCTCTTTGTAAGCACCAAAAGTATTTACACATGCAAAAAGACTTAACTGAGTTTCTTCGAGAACGCTTTTTTGATCACCCTCCAAAAACTCCACAAATTCTACGTATCTTGTGAAACAATATTAAGTGAAGCACATAGATCGAAGATGACTGCAATTTAATTTTTTACTGAGTGAAACCTTATGAAGTCGCTCTAAAGATATGTCAAAATGCATGCATAGATATACCATAAACAGTCGCATATGCTTTATGTAGCCAGCTGTTTCAGTTGCGTAACAATGTCAACAGCATAGAATATAAGCAACACCAGAAGTGATAAGCTGGTGGCTCTTGGACTGCGGAATTGCCCTCCAAAAGCTGGTAGGCAATCTCAGAGGCCTGCGTTCACGCCTCTCTTTTAAGAAAACATTTGCACGTGTGTGGTACCAGATGTCGCTTGGTCGGCACGTGTTATCACGTTTTGGCCACCAAAACTCATGGCGCATGCCGTGCGCGTGTCTCCTCAAGGCCGGCGTGCATGCGCAGGCTATATCCAGAAAAGTACCATTGGCGTTAACTCGATGTAACAGCTGTATGATAGGACTACAAATGTAATCTTTACAAATTTGAATAGCAAGCAATGAAACCACAATAGACGTTTCATGAACATTAGGGTGTTTTTAAAAACTAGTTTAGAGACCTGGCGTGGCTTAACGGTAGAATACTTTATTGCCATGCAGAATTTTCGGGTTCAATTTCTGCTGGGACCCTGACATTTAGTCTTTGCATTCATCTGATCAACGGTGCCAAATTGAGCTTTTTGATAAAACACATGTGTTAAAATGTCCCATGCCTGTTCTCCCTATGTTTTGGTACATGTGAATAGTCAATTACTTGTGCTACTGTCTAACGGAAACTGATTGACGACCTACGCGACGAGATTGTGATATTAGTCATATCATGACCAGCGAGTCGTATGCGTCATACCATTTACCCTCATGTACTAATTTTGCGTTGACCTAAGATCTAAGGGGGGCGGACGGGGTCACAAGGGCACCCAGGCGTACCGAACTGGATAGATAGATAGATAGATAGATAGATAGATAGATAGATAGATAGATAGATAGATAGATAGATAGATAGATTGACAGATAGATTGACAGATAGATTGACAGATAGATAGATAGATAGATAGATAGATAGATAGATAGATAGATAGATAGATAGATAGATAGATAGATAGATAGATAGATAGATAGATAGATAGATAGATAGATTATAGGTGGAAATGGTAAACCCGGGTATATTATGCATGTAAACTGCACGGTAAAGAACATGGACGACAATCGCGCTCGTCCTTGTCGGCTTGTTGCCCATGTTGCAACAGCATACACCGATAATGAATCGCGATCTGACCCGTCCACATTGATCACCTTATATATGAGCTTTCAAACTTTTCAATATTTTGATAGGCCACACGAACAAAAGCAACGTTAACTAAATTTAGAAACTAAAATATTTTCGTCGCTATACACTAACGTTTACCCAGCAGGGGGGCTATGACACGTAGCTGTGTTAAGCAGGTCAGTCTTCAAAATATTTCATTTGGAGAACTGAACCAAATTGTTGTTGTATTACTTCTTCCTGCTAAGCATCGCCGATGAAAATTATATTTTGCGATATTGACTGCAGAATAAATGTGGTACAAAAAAGTTTGCATGGCATCGCGTATCAATGTAACAATATTGCCATGGAGGTCGCGTATACGGAAAATACATAAGCGAGTATATATACAATATTAACGAGTAGCTATGCCACTGAAAGGCCACCAGCGTCACGCGCGGAATGTCAGGTACTTCTTCGTCTATTTTTTTTTTGCAAAGGTGGGTTCAAGCACAATGCTTCATCACATCACCTCAATTGACGAAGTCCTATCGTGACATCTTCTAAATCTCTCACCGCATATATTTTAGGTGTGACACATGACAGGCGTCAGTAGGTAGTGCCGCAGATGAGTGCCGATGAACAAGAGTGAACTTTGTAGAGCACTGTGTATCGAAGAAGGGGTTTCTCGCAGAAGACTTCACGTTGATATGACTTCCAGAATAGACAAGAGATTCAGGAGGCTAGTCGACGTCACGGTGCCGGTCATCATATCACACTCTTTGTGAGGTGTGAGAAGCCCAGAGCTGAGTGTGGGTGATGCGGTAAGCCACGCGGGTACAAAAAGTGCCGTCTGAGCATACACCATCGGTATGGCAACATGACAGGAGGGAGCTTTTTGAATGGCAGCGTTCGGTTATGGCCGAACAGAAGAAAAAACGCTGTATCATCCCGGTGGTGTCATCCCTTGACAAATAACACAAGGTAAAGTGGTGTTCAAACATGGTGGTCAGCAGAAGCGTAAAGTGGCGGCATATCTATTCGAGTACGGTCAAGTCACTCAGTAAGGCCGTTGGTCTATGATTAGTAGGCTGTAGTAAATTGATAGGTAGAGCAGCTACAGAGGATTTCGGCGATAACTCTTGCGATAAAGCCGCGGCTGTGATATAGAAGGACCTGGCATGAGGCCCATGTCGCAGGATGACGTCATTAAACATAGTCTACGCCTTGTGTAGCGCAGTAGTTGGTAAGGAACGTGTTAGGGCGTATTCAGTCAAGAAGTGAATCGCGATAGTGGTCCATTTGATTGGATACGGATGTAGAAAAGAATCCGTGGATTAAGATGCGAGAGAATAGTTCCAAGGGAATGTCTATAACTTGTGTAGCAGGGCAGCCTGACGGGGAGGACGTCTACCACACTGACATTGCTCGCAAGCAGCAACATAATGACGCGAAGAATGGTATTGGCCATACCAAAATAAGCGCTGTCGCACGTGGGCATAGGGGCTAGAAACGCTTATGTTTGCCATAGTCGGAGCATGATGTCGATGATAAAGAATGGTAGCACGCAGTCGTTGGGCAATCAATAGCAAAAATCCCTGCCCGTCGTCAGAACGTGTGCTGTGGTGATATACATAGAGCTTCACTGCGGAGGGCATACTGGCCAAGCAAAGGGTTGGAACATCCCGAGGAGACTTGCTGAATTCAAATTTGACGGTTACGTCCTGAGGCTCCTCTGTGCAGATGGCATGCAAATGAGATATGGCGAGTGCACGAGATTCTTTACTATTGTGAGCGAAACAAGCAAGGTACACCATATGACACAAGAGACAATCTAGGTCTTGATGCAGCCTGCCCGATTTGTAAATTACGTCGAAGGTACACTCCTGGAGACGTAGAGCCCAGCGACTAAGGTGACAAGCAGGGTCCTTGAGTGATGACAACCAACGCGGGGTGTGGTGGTCAGTAACGACAGCTGCCATCCTTCCTTCTGATACTGCCATACCAACGGTGTATTCTCAGGTATCACTTCTCTTGTAAACGTGGCTCGTGGAATCCCCCCCCTCCCCAGTTAGACTCTGTGCTTTTCTGGCCTCACAAAATTGCGCTCCGATGAGCGGGCAGATTCGCGGATGGGTTGAAGTGGGCAGGTATTGGTGCTGGAGGGAGCAAGGTGATCAGTGTCGTAAACGCATCCTTTTGGTATTGAAACCACAAGAAGGGCACGTCCTTTTTGAGACGAGCAAGTGGTCGGGCAATGATAGACACATGCATCATTCCTGGGAAAAATTTGGCAAGTACAAATACATCACCCCGGTGAGTGCTCAAGACCAAATTACATGTCTGAAGCTGAAAAATGTTTGACTGCACCAAACAATTTTTTTCTGCTCATAACGTGTGTTAGTGTGCACTGTTATGAAGATACACCTGCGTCGACAACAATATTTTTGTCAACCATGAACACTATCTTGAAGAAAACTAACAAGCTTTTATTTTCAGGAGAGATATGATTGCTGTAGAAGGGTCAAGACAGGAAAGCGTGCTTCAAGGTCAGTGTTATTCTTTTCAGTTACCCCTGTTTCTCATTGTCTGATTTAGCGAAGTCATACAAGCAAACCAGTTATGAAACTTTTCAAGGTAGACCTTATGTGAGGTGAAAGTCCCCGCACATAAACCAGGAGAAATATCTTGCAGTTCTTGAACATATCTTACTCTTGTGTTCCTAATGTATCAAAATCTACTTGATGGCCTTGGTCCTGTTCGATGCACATCCTCTTCAGCTGTGCACGTTCGTGTGCATGTTATTTTATGTATGATTTCATTTTTATTGAAATGCATATTGTCAGGAGGTCTTGATGTGGACAAATGGAGTACACTGCGAGTCGGATAATAAACTGTTTATTCAGGCAAACCTGTTCTCAGTAAACGGAAAGTCGGATTGAAGCCTTGCACTGACAGCGGTGAACGGAGTGTCGGCCATCCGTGAACTGACGAGTGGTGAAGTGTGTCGGCAGTTATACCCCTGGCATCGAATAATCTAGCGTTATTGCTAGCGGTGAAGTAGTTTCCAGAATAATCTGTAATGATCATGAAGTGGGCGTAATCTTAACAAAAATTATCTACTATGACCTCACAGATTCTGGAAAATCGTTGGTGTGGTTTGCGCATAACGTATAGTGCAACGAGGCGATAACAAAATTTAGGGAAAGGAACGTGGCAATATATCATTGCAGATTGAAAATGGCAAATAATAATAAAGGATTTAAAATAAAGCTCATCACAGATCACTTGAGAAAACATCACTATGACCACCGCAGCAGCACTAACGCTTCATCCTTTTGCATTATAAAGGAACTAATTTACCATACCACATCAGTATACCAAGTGAATAAGGGCCTTCAGTCTTGCGTCTGTACCATTTATGACTTACACTTGTTAACATGGCCTCCATAATAAAATACTGTTATATGACATTTTTTACTGAAGTAGAGTGAACTGCTTGAGACAGTCACACCTTTCTGAAGAGCAAATCATGGCGCTCGGGCTTGCTAGAGTTGCTTATCTGAGAAACGGTGTAGTACATGATAGACCAGGATTAACGACGAAGGCAAGTGTTCGCTAAGTTATCAAACTACATACACATTTCTTCCCCTAACATGTTTTTTAACCTCGAACAACATATGAATTCATCGGCTGTCATAAGAAATCTTACACAATTTACTTTCTCTTAATGATTCAGCCCATATTTTTGTCCAGTAGTTCTTTCAAGACACTACAAGTTTGAAATATTTACTGACGTGCATGACCGCGTATGCTCTTTGTTTCAAGTTGATGCTACATTTGTGGGCCTGGGTATTATACTTTCAATGGCTCCCCACTTGCGCTTTATTTATATATTTTTAGGTCCCGATATACCGAAAAATGGTTAGGTACATCATTATCTTTTTAGAACTGGTACCAATAGCTTTTCATTGATGACCACTTGTCACCGTTAATTAAGTCAAATCTAGAGTATGGCAGGCCTCCACGCTTGGGCTTAACTTATGTTTACGTTATACCAATGACACTGGCAATGGTCCGCATTTGACAGCTGAATTGTTTACCGACGAGTTCGCAATTTACAAAATCACTAACCACGAAGATACTTTCTGTCTTTAGTATGACCGAGAATTTCTCTGTAAACGGTGCAATGAGTCAGTTACAAATGAAAAAACTGTAATTACAACAACGGCTATGTAATTTGAGACTACAGCTGACCGCGTCTTAAGCAATAACATATGAAGCAACACGCCCAAGACTCTGTATCTACAATAAAGTACGTTGTTGTTCATTTGTGGTCACACCTTTTGTAGAACACTCATACAAACGCAGCCTTTAGTAAGGCATGCAGATGACATGGCTTAGTGAGTCAAAATGAGCACCTGGCTAACTTAGGCAGGCTTTGTTTTAGCCTATAAAACTTTAATATGCTCTAAAATTGAATACACTGGCTCCAATAGAAACCGGTGTCTCTACTAGATAAGTTGGGTTTCTACATTACACACACAAACACACACATGCACACACAAATTACAAACATCAGGTGTAACTGAAATGAAATCAATAATTATTTTGCACTTCTCGAAAAGTTTATGCTGTTCCCTATTCTCTTCCTTTTATATACCTCTCTTCAGTCAGTCGGTTCACAATACATCAGATATCAGCCCAACCCAATATTTATCTTGTCGACTTGAACACCATTATACAAATCAACCAATTTTCACTTGCAATATTCTGTTGTCTCGTCAGTTCCACTCGCAATTAGTGAATAGAGTTTTCTCCCGGCTGACATCGCATGGATCATCTGATGCATGACTCATCTGTAATTAGATTTAGGACATTCTTACAACTCTGCTTATTTCGAAAACGATTACGGGCAACATGTGTTCCCCACCTCTAAAAGACAAGGTGAAAAACGAAATGGAAAGTCAAAGATACAGTTTATCCTCCTATTACGGGTGTTTTTTTTTTGATAAAGGCGAAATTGATATAGGCCGGTGTGCTCAGATTTGGGGGCACGTTAAAAAACCCAAGGTGGTCGAAATTTCCAGAGCTTTCAACTACAGCGTCTCTCATAATCCTATGGTGGATTTGCGCAATAAACTCATATATCAAATAATCAATCAATACTGGTGTTAAATTATACTTGCATGTCGTTGGGACTTGTTGTATGCTCCAGAAAGCATGCTAATTCTTGTTTATCTTGCCTACTGTTGTTTGAATGCTGTGTTTTACTACTTCAGTGTTATAGTGCCGATAAATATTGTCAAGTGCTTGAAGTACATTATGAACCTTTTATTTTTAATATTAATCAGTTTCCCGGACATCGTGTAATACTGTCATACGTGCTCGTTTTTGTACCAATGCAATGATTTATTTTTGTCATTCTAAATCTTAAGTTCTAGTTTAGTGTACATTACAACTATTATTTATCTCCTACATAGTAACGATTCTCATGCATTTTCTTCTAGGTTTTTAGGCTGTCTGAATAAAACAATCAAGAGGTACCATTATTTGACCCGACCAGTAAATAGTTTCAAGCCACTGCATTTGCACTAGTGAAAATTACTACCAACTTAGCAAGCTGAACACCATATAATTCGTTTCAATTTTCTCATTTATGCAATAATGGTATAGTAGTGCTATTTCTCTGTGTATTTCGTGTGATTTCTTTGCTGATTTAATCTTGCTTGTTTTTTTTTGTTAATATAATCACATAGTTCTTTGCATTGTAAGGGAGGCTTCTACTACAAGACCGAAAGAATGAATTCTGTTTGAGTAATTCTAGTTTTTGGAGGACAGGATGTAACCTGCCTAAAAGCACCGTGATACCATTAAACTTCAAATCTAACTCAAGAGGCTGTCGTGTTGATACTGTAGAAGTTTCACGGGTTCGTTGAAGTAGTCTTCGATCAGGGCAAAAACAAAATCCAATTTTGATATTTCCCATTTTTTGTTTCGTTTTAAGGATTTGCCTTTGTAGCGTCTGCTTGCACTGACAACCGTCAGCAGCTGGGTGAGGACAAAGCAGACAGCTATACTGGTATTCGCATCATGGCACATGAAATGGGGCATACGTAAGTGTTTAATACTAACATGACTTGCTGTAGGTGATAATCTAGCTTTTTAAAAATTGAAGGTGAATAACAAATGCAGGGTGTAGTTCTATCACTTGTACAGTTGGTCTTACTTGCAAACGAACGCTGCCAAGTTAAATCGAGAACAGTTATTGATGCAGAATCGTTGTGCATCGGCTTCTACTAAGGCGTTTATAACACGCCCACTGAAACTACACAAATATTGTTTATTGCAGAAAGCATGAACGAAAGCATGAACGAATAAGTGCGCTTAAAAAATACAACATGACTGTGTTCATCGGGCACAACTTCTGTTTATATAGAAATAAGAAATTTGCTAATACGACCCTTCTTCTGCAATTAGTCTTCCGCAAGTTTTCTGAATAGTGTACAAGTCACACAAACTTGAATTTTTGCATGCTTTTTGGCTCAGGAGTTGCTTTATCTTTTATTCGATATTGCTACCTAATTCTTTGTGATACCCTTCGTATAAGCAATTCTATGTGGGCGAACTTGTGCCCTACAGGAAGCCAACTGAAAAGTTGTTCGCGTATCTCCTTGCTTCGCTGCAAGAGCCGCAGAAAGATGACAGCCTTTCTTCTGGCGGCACTGCTCGACTTATGGTGCCATCTGGCAATGAAAGTTCTAAAGAAAATAAAGTTTTTTTAGAACTCAGAACCACTGGTTAGTGACAGCGCCGGGTTGTTTTTGTTAAAGCCCTTCAAGTGTTACAGCGAAATGTAAAAAAAAAAACCTGCTTTATTGCTCATTGCGTCACATTGTCAGCGCAGCGAAATAAACACTTTGCTCTTTACAAAACGTATCTACGCATTTTCCAAGTAAAAAGTGATACTCCTTCGCACTTACGAATCTATGTTGCGCCTCAATTATGTGTATTATTTGCTTTTCATTGACAATGTTCACAAGTACGAATGCAGCCTCCAGATCTAGATTGATGCGCTTGCAGCAGAGGCTTAAACTGTCGTAGTGTGGCAGAATATATGGACAGGCAAACATTTTTGTGTTGAAGTAGCATCTGAAAGACTTCAGATGCCACTGAAACACTCACCGCTTGCCCTGACTATCATCAGGACAAGCGGTGAGTGCTTCTGCTGAAGTGGGTGGATGAGTGCATAGCAGGATATTATGGAACACTACAAAAGAAAATACGGAAGAGCTACAGAAATAAGAAGTGAATTTCAATTTTTACAACTGTGCTTTGTTCCCTGACAGTACAGGTATACACTCGAGGTTGAAAAGGATTATTCGTATTTTATATAAAATAAGTTTAATAGCATCACTTACTCCATTATGTTGTGCTCTGCCTTTATGGCACTGTTCAGCTGATTGAACTGATTGAAAGAGAATATTCTCACTTCAATTTCTTGCCTTGTTGTAAATAATAATACACCTCTATCCTAATTTTTTTTCTTTTTATATATCGCGCTATACATTCACATGATGTGTGCGTCGTACAAAATATATTTTATTATTTGAGGTTCCACATCCCGTAACCTTGATTTGATTATGAAAGGCGCTGTAGTGGGAGGATTCGGCAATTGAGACCATTCGTTGGTCTTTAACGTTCACTAGCGTCGCACAGTAGAAGGCCTCCAACGAATTGCGCCTCAATCAGTCAGTTTTCGCGTGTATGGAAATGCGAGCGCTGCGACCTTCCGGAAAGCAGCCGAATGCCTTAGCCGCTGTTTTAACGAAGAGGAGTTTCGAGTTTCCAAATATCAAGACCCCAAGGAGGCTGCCGCTTATAACATATCTCCGCTTATAACACAGCTGGCGCTAACATATAGGAGAGGCACTACCTAGTATAGCTCGAAACTTTTGCAAGAGGGTCCCGTTACGGCACAGCTTCAAAATAGAAGCCGAGCTCCTGCTTCGAAGACAAATCACTTTCCAAGTGGATTTTCATTGATATAGTTTGTACCGAACCTGTATACGACTAGGTTCTGGCAGACGTCGTTCATATATAGGCTAAAGACGCATCGCACAGAATTTCTGGCACCCTTCGTGCATCGTCCTCCTGCCCCCCTTTCCTCACGCGCTAGATACAGGTGCTCCTCAGCGCACGCTACCACCAATGCGCCTTTCACCAACGTTGTGTTACCGGATGGCTGCATTTTCTAGATACCGCTCTGAGCTAGCGCGGTTACCAGCAGTTGTTCATCTGACTCGCTATTATTCGGATGCTTGTTCTTCACTCGGAGCATGGGCAGCGGGGACTCAAGGAGCACCAAAGCACACAGAAGCACTAATGGGCGTGAAAACGACGTGAAACTACTCATACAGAACGTGTACCTGCAACAGCTAGTTTCACTGGCTTCCATCGTCACTACAACGGAAGTGTTGTTTTCCCATTGTCTGAAGAGCCTAGGACGTATTGTTGCCTATGTAGCTCTGTTTCAGAAAGAAGCCTTGTGCTTAGGTCATGTGAAATTTGCTTGAGCACCAAAGTGAGACAGCAACATTGGCGAGTGAATTTCTCAAGTATAACTGCGTTCAACCCGTGACACAAACGCTAGTGGAGAGCGCAATGCTTCTTTGCGTTAGAGACGTGTATTACTAAGTGTCCTCGTCACGTTCTGATATATTTGAGTGCGTTCCAAGCTACCGGACCTGCAATGACACTGCAGAACAGAATCAAAATTCTCTACAATATGACGGGGGGTATCAACAAGCATAAATCCAGGGTGAAGGTTGCTACACCGACCCTATTCGATCACGCGCTGCCCCAATTGTATTTTGCCGCACTCAATTAAGATGCATTCATTTGAATTAAGGGCCCCTCCTTTTATATTATGAGCAAATCTTATAAGAAATCGATCGACAATTTGATATCATTTGTTTATTATTTCGTATAGAGCACTCCCCTTGCACAGATTTTTTTTTATTTTTTATCAACAATGCAATGCTCCTAATGAGCCTTATGGTACCTATATCTTGATTCAGTGTTTATCGCCACTTATCGAAGTCAGATATTTCTTAAACTGGTTTTGTATCTTTCCACTTTCTCAAATATATCCTTTCATACTTTTCTCGCGTACCCTATTTCTTTATCGTTTTTAATTATTTTTCTTTGGGAAAATTCAGATACCGCATGAAATGGTGGTAATATTTAATAAACTGATCGCATACAGCATTACGGTGAGGGTATGCACATAGTAAGATAGAATATAGCGAGGAATTGTCCGAGATGGGCTATTTCGTCATCTCATTCTGAAACGTGTCATTTTGAATTTCTTCTAGATTGGGCTGCTCACATGATGGCACAAATGTGGATGGCATCATTAAGGGTTTCAAGTCTGAGTCCGCCAATTGCCCTTGGCACGACGGTTACATAATGAGTTACATCCAGGAGGACAGCCGAAGCTATCATTTCTCATCTTGCTGCAACTATATGATGTCATTAGTGTCATGGTACGTGGTTATGACGCAATGAATTGCTTGTGTATGCCGCGTGATTCAAAAGGCATTCATGCGAAATGAAAAAGAATTAAAAAGAATGTTTTGTTCCAAAATGACACAAGGCGAATATATCAAGCATCTTCTTTAGTAACACACACACGAAAGTTGAGCAATCTTCCCACGAAGTTAAGAAGTACATGTGAAATATCTAGTAGTTTTAGGTGCAATGCAGAGTTTGAAGTCCGATATATTGCATTATCTGAAGTATTTGTAATTTAGCGGAGAAGTGATCAGGTAAAAACTAATGTGTGTCTGTCTGGATGTTACTTTAAAATAGCTACAACAGCATTTGGCTCACAGGTAATTTCAAATAATCCCTTATTATAAAAGTGCAATTTGCGATCCATAAAATTATGCGCATGCAGTTTCATAATACACGATGTTCTGGCTGTGGTTAGCTCAGATCTAAGACGTGACTACCTTTTAGTCAAATCTTCCAAGGTGAATTTTCCAAAAATTATTTTGCTCTAGGTCTGTTGAAGCTAGTTGTTTGCGGACAAATCAGACAACGACAGTGGTAACAAGAATTACCAGGACAGTTTACCTGCCCGGTCAAATGCTGGATAAAGACAAACAATGTAGAATGACATATCCTACATTGAGAAATACGTATTACATGAAAGTGAGTATGCTTCAAATATCACTGTGGCAAACTTGTCATTCAAGTTTTATAACTTGTATTAGCTTTTTTCTCTTCTACGCAGGAATATGGCGTCCAACGTTGCGTTGCGCAGTGTTTTGTAGACGGCAGAGAGTTTCATGCCTCCAGCTCACATTGGCCTATGCTCCTCATCGATGGCAGCGAGTGCGCTCAGGGACGGGTATGTACGGAAATTGCTTAGTACAGCACAGTTTGGCTTTTTTTCGTGCTTATCAATTCATCAGTTGATATATTGCCATATTTGATGGAGTATTAAGCACCAATTTGCGTTCACTTATCATTTTAAGGAGCGGAGCTGCTTAGGGCTTTTGTCCTCCTAGCAGCGCTCGCAAAAGCTTAGCTGCATGAGCCACTCAGTGAAATCTCTGACTAAAATCACGGACGTAATGAAATCACTGCAGTTACTTTTCAGCAGAGTCGCTATTATTATTTAGTCGAAAATTCGGCAGTTAACATGTGCATGATAATTGAAGTTGCATGGAGCATGCGGACGGAAGGTGACCGCATTGAAATTTCTTATCGAGCAACACTTTATGAAATCGCATCACATTTATGTGCAAACGTTGCACGCACAAACATATGTTGAACAGTTGCAGATGTTTAAACAACAAGCTAGTTGCACTTGTGCAACGATGTGAACAGGAACATGAGTGGAAGCAAAACCAGAAGCGATAAGCTAACATGAAGCGCTTGCGCTCACGAGGATGGTAACTTTGGACAGTGCTATAGTATAATTCAACTTCAAAGTATGGCACCAAGCTACAATTCACGTTAACCCAACGGGACGGCTGGCTTATAGAAGTAGAAATGTAATGTAAAAAATGAATAGTCAGCACTGCAGTCACAATTCACGTTTCATGAACATTTGGGTTTATTTGAGAGGCAGTTCTGAGACCTTGCGTGGCTCTGTTGTAGAACGCTTAGCTTCCACGAAGAATGCTTGTGTTCGATTCCTGCTGGCACCCTGACATTCATTGTTGGCATTCGTTGAGTCAACGCTGCCAGTGCCAGGTTTCTTTACCACTCACCCGGAATAGAGACCCGCCCATTTCTCTCTTGATCTACATTTTCTGCAATAAATGTTTTATTCACACATTCATTTTAACACTCACAAGCTAACATTACCCATGTGTGTTCGTCACTCCTGCATGTAAATACTAACTGCCAATCGACTGTGGCACATACTCGCCCGCGGGTATGTGCCACTGCATACAAATATACAGGGTTTATACAAACCCTGTATATTGTCATAAATAATAATTATGCTGTGGCACATACCCGCACACGGGTATGTGCCACTGTCTGGCGGGAACTGTTTGACGACGTATGTGACGGTATTTCGACATTATTCATGTCTCTACCAGCGCGTCATATTTGTCGAATCATATCATCTTACCCTCCCATACAAGTTCTCGTTAACGCCAAGTTAAGAGCGTGACCACGGACCATGAGAGCAACCAAACGAAAGCGGCTAGATAGATAGATAGATAGATAGATAGATAGATAGATAGATAGATAGATAGATAGATAGATAGATAGATAGATAGATAGATAGATAGATAGATAGATAGATAGATAGATAGATAGATAGATAGATAGATAGATAGATAGATAGATAGATAGATAGATAGATAGATAGAGCCGGCCTTGCGTGGCTCTGTTGTAGAACGCTTAGCTGCCACGAAGAATGCTTGTGTTCGATTCCTGCTGGCACCCTGACATTCATTGTTGGCATTCGTTGAGTCAACGCTGCCAGTGCCAGGTAGACAGACAGACAGACAGACAGACAGACAGACAGACAGACAGACAGACAGACAGACAGACAGACAGACAAACAGACAGACTCGAAGTCACCGAAGTTCGCTAAGAAATGCTTTGCATTGAAAACACTAAAAATGTAACAAATATAAAGTTCAAAACTGTCTAATTGGACGTTTTGCCAATCTATCTATATCTTTCTTATTGACAATTTTCAATCACCTTTGTTCCTTCGAAAATTGGTTGATTAACCAGATCTAATTAAACATTATTTTGGAACACAAAAAAAAGTCTAACTCTAGGCAACTGTCAGCAACGTTTATTTAGTCGCATCAGGATTGCATATGTTGGCATGTTTTTAAACTCTAGCTAAATATAGATGGGGAACCCTGCATACAAGCAGATCAAAATTACTCGAGTTGAAGGCAATATACACACGAAAACAAAGTTCACCTTTCGACAATATAAAGGGTTTTTCTTCAAGCGATGTGGATTTTTTTCTTAAAAATTATAATAAGTAGGCACTTATCTTGGAAGCCAATCTTTAGGCCGAGGCGGGAAGAGTGAGCCACTATTTAGATCAGTCCGGAATGATGTATTAACCAAAATATTTGAATTAGCTCTTTCGTTGTCATCTTCAGGATTGTCGTTTATGTGGCGAAGCTTCACTATATCACAAATTATTATTAACATTGTTTTAAAAATTTGAGAATCTCACGCATGGTTTGATTGATTGATATGTGGGGTTTAACGTCCCAAAACCACTATATGATTATGAGAGACGCCGTAGTGGAGGGCTCCTGAAATTTAGACCACCTGGGGTTCTTTAACGTGCACCCAAATCTGAGCACACGGGCCTACAACATTTCCGCCTCCATCAGAAATGCATGGTTTCAGAAATTCATCATCGTATTTCTAGACCGCGGTGCCGAAAAAACCAAAACTAACGCACCCAGACCTCCGGAAGGGTGGTCCCTGTGCTTCGTCAAATTTCCTTGTCGGCAATTAAACAGTGGCATGCTGTTCGACATCAAACAGAAGGCGCGTTCAGGTTCGACCTGAATTATGATAGGCGTCTCGACGAAAAGAGGGCACCTCAGAAAACGTGAATATCGCGCCCCCTCGTAGGCTTATGATGCCATGTACGGCAGCAAGATTTGGCTTAGTTGTTTGTAGAAGTGTCTGTCATTCGTGGAACCTGTGTTCACCAAGCCCAATGGACCATTGTGACACTTTTAGGTGTGCAGCGAGCAAATCTGAATATTTTTCAACACCATTGGCCTAAAATAATTCCATCATATCGCACATCAATTAATCATATTGCACATCATAAAACAGTTTGTTAGTAATAAAATCCCCAACATCACATAGGCCGGCTGGTTTCTGTGGCAATGCGACCCTTGCGAATACAACGGACTTAACAAATACAACGGATCTTAACAAATAAATGTTTATCTGACAATTCTACTGGAAGTTCACATCACCATGTTTGGTTTACTCATCTTTAACACTATTGCCAGCTTTACCTTGGCCACATCTACTCACGTCTACTGACACGCATTTCGACGCACTGTCGTTCATACATCGTCTCAAGTTTCTTCACCACATCTCATTTGTTTACATCGAGTGTGGTGAGAAGCATTCAGTTTCGCAGAGCGTGGTGAGATGGCCTTCAGTTTACAAACTCTATTGGGAGAAGTTCGTCATAAAAAATTGCACAATCTCCCAGTAAAGAAAACCCTGAGTAGTATTTGAAGCAGCCATTGGTAGACACAGCGTTCTGTAAAGAGGTGCTCTTTATTCATCACTGTGGAGGCTCATGGTCGCACACACAGCCGCTTTGTGAGTCCTCGCCTATGCCACACTCATGCTCATGTCTTCACACATGCTACTACGCTGTGTGCGTGAGAGAAAGATGAGTAGGGGCCTTTATTATATAGAGCAGTGCAGCGCCAGTAGTAGTGGTCTCTACTCAAACCAGGGCACGCGTCGAAATGAAGCGAGCGCTTTATTAGCGGGCCATATTGTGGGCGCTCCGGGTACTAATATGGCTACAACGACGAACAAGGGGCAAGCCCCGAACATAAGCTGATTGGCATTTAATGTGTGAGAAAGTTCCTTTGCCAATTGTAGCTCTGGTAGAATGAAATTACTGATAACTCATATTTCAAGAGGCGGGATTAGAAAGTGCCTCGTAGAGCAACGATTATGCTAGATATTGACATTAAAGAGCTTTGACAACGGGATCGATAAAGGTACTGCACGATGATGCACTTTTTCAATCCACTTATTTATACAAAGAACGACCTGTAAAGACGACTATGAGTAAGTCAGGTTAAGTAATTTTTTGGTTAACAGGAATCCGAGTGAGGTCTAAGCACAAATATATTGATACAAAGCAGAAACCACCTCTAAACTGCGCACGTACGTTTGTGCATCCTCCGGGAGGGAAACGGCCCTCTAAAAAAAGGTTGTGAAGGCCCGCGCCTTCATTCACAACATATTACATTGGAGGGAAGTGGAGCGTCACTTGAGCACATTTAGATATTTTTGATCACCCATGAAGAATGCTGCCTATATATTTTGCCTGTGTTTTGGGCACAAGTTATTCCACAATAATTATTTCTAAACTACCTATTTCGTGCGCCATAATCATTCTTCAGGAAGTTTGAAAGAAATCAGCCTTTTTTTTCAACATGTCTGCGTGTTCAAAGCGCTGTAGACGCTCCACATAATTTTGAAATTTTTGCGTAATGAGTGCTGTAAGTTGACCTTTACATTCGTAGTTTATTTTATTACAGATTTGCATTAATGGAATGTGCGTACAGGACACCTTCAGGCACTACAATCCCACTGAAGGCCCAACAAAAAAGCCTAAGAAAAAACCCAAATCACCAAAGACAACCACTGCTAAAACCACGAAAAAAAACAGTACGAAGAAAACTACGACAAAACGCCAAAAGAATAACAAGACTAGCCGCGCAGAGTAACCAGGAGCACTGGCGAAATCTACTTGAAGGTCAATAAATGCTACAGAAAAATGCTAAGAACGTTGTAAACATATGCAACTCATCTGCTGCTATTTGATTGTGTGTGCTGCTATGCACACTTCTTAATTCTATCTCTGTACGCGTTCATGGGTGCTTCCCTGTGGACGCTTGACATCTCAGCTTCTCTGCGGACGCTTGGCATCTTAGCACTATGAACATACTCAATGTGCTCTCTTGGCTGGTCACCGCAACGTCCGAAGGCATCGTTTTGCACTTGGTTCAGCCTAAAATAGGAGGTGTGGAAGAGGAAAGAAAGGATAGGGAGGTTAGCTAGTTGAAAGACCAGCTGGCTACCTTATGCTGGGTATGTGGGTAAGGAGAATAAAAATTGACAGAAAAGAAATGTTGGAAAAAGAAAAAGAGGGACAACAGTACAATTGACGACACTGCATAAAGTCTCTCTGTGACATCAGTTGTCCCGCAACAACGCCTTCTGAGCTTTCCGTGCAGAGGACGGTTTCGTCCAGTGTCCTAATACCTTGTCCTCCGAAAATGAATGATTGTCAAATCTATCAAAATCTGTTGAGAGTTAGTTTCTTGGTTGGTTGAAGTAGTTTTATGACTTCAATGCTCAAATAGAGCAAAGCATATTGAACCGTCCAAATAATGTGGATAAATTTACGACAACTAATCAAGTCATAAGAAGTACCAAAACGTTTTCTCCATTTGTATAATTCACTAGCTTCACCCCCTTGCCTGGAGAAATCCATGGTGCTTCGGTCAGGTTAAAATAGGAAATATTCCCACTAATTTGTGATCCAGTCTGCAAAGGCATCGTGCAGCTGTCCCTTCTCACTGTCTCAAACAACAAAAGGTTTCATGTTGCCGTTTTGTCTCATAAAACACTTTCAGTTGATTTAGGTAATCGCACATATGACTACAAGCTTTGTTCCATGTTTCTGATAAAAAGATGAGGTTCCAGTTGAATATTGCCATTTAGGTTGACATGAAAGCCAATTGTAATAATAATAAATGTAAAAGAGTTTTATCAAACTGCAGGCGCCGTTCTTCGCCCGTTTCCCGTCCCTATCTACGTATGCGTTTCTATATTTAGCCTCAATAATGTATGCCTGGTCAATCAAGACAAGAAGTTTCCGAGATCTCACGTACCATAGAAATCGTTTTGATGCGAAACGTGCTGAGGGAAGAGGACTGTGGTGTATTTTTATTGAACGAAATGCTACATAATTAGCTAAACATATCTAAAAAGGTTCTATGCAAGATATATCTTAAACATAGGTATACATTCATATAATCAGTTTTTCCCAGTCGCGTAAATGAGGCTAACGGCAACATGGGTATAAGCAACAGCAACAGCAGAAGGAAAAGCTTCTATGTAGTGCCATGTGCACGCGAGGATGGTAACTCTGCACACTGCTTTCAATTTCAGCATAAGTGTGTGGCGCTAAACCACACAGGGGGTAAGACGACGTCATAGTTGTATCTTAGGATTACATACGTGTTGTTAATAAAATTAGATATCCAGCAGGGCTACCACAAAACAGGTTATGCAAACATTCAAACTCTGTAGGGTCTTTTTCTACACTATTCTTGAGAACCTGCATTGTCTTGTGGTACAATAATTGACTGTCAGGCAGAAGTTTCGGTTCCATTACTTCTACAGTCCTGATTTTTAATTTTCTATTTGTCGAGTCAACTCTGCCGACACATATTTTTAATAATTCTATCACGTTTAAATGGCAAACGTCTGCTCTCTCTTCGAGAGTACTTCGCCGTGTTTCTATCTGGTAGACATAGCTAAAACGTGGTTTTTCAATTTAAATTTGGCCGAATCATCCCAGTTGTTGGTCAAACTCACTCAGTTGTATTGATCAAACCGATCCTCCACATATTCAACTCCAAGTCTGGAGAACACAGGTGGATCACGCTCATGCCCCATGGTAATCCATGATGGATAAGCCGCGGTAGCCGGGACCATGGAAGGTAGATGCGGGAGCGCTGGTTGGCTCGCCCTGAGAAATGCTACTGGACACGTGGCGCTGACGCTCACAAGTAACAACGCGATGAATCTTGCATCTCGTACAATGTGGATGTGCTTGTTCTCTGTCGCCGTTTCAACACTTCTATGACCAAATCAGAGAGGCTTCACTGTCTACTGAATAAAATTAGCCTTTCGCGTTCAATGCGCTGGTTATACAAAACCCGGAAATCATCGCCAACGTTGTTGCCACGTTTCAACAAAGCCCTTGAGGGACTCGAGTCCCATTGGTTACTACCGGACAGCCGCGAAAACACCAACGCAATCGTTACCTCATTACGTGCTATAATCCACACGGATATACGGGAAGGGCTGCAATTTATTCACCTCTCAGCCAGCCAGAGGTTATCTCCCACCTCCAACACCCTTTTGCGTGACGTTATTAAGGAAAAGTGAGCGTCCATGGCTGGGTCAGCGTATGTACACTCCGCCCCTACACTCCAGCCGACGTACGAACAAGTCATCGCTGGTTCGCCACCCATTGTGCAATATATTCCTGCCCACTAGATGCTTGTGCACCTGACTTCGATGACTCCAAGTGCCTCTGGTCGGCCCTTTCACCCACTATGACGGTTTCCTCGTTCAGTCTTTTTACTACGTGCATCAAGGCCACATTGCATGCTTTTGTCGCAAGTAGCAGCGGGATGAGCGTCGTGCATTCGACATCTATGAACGGGATGGCGGGCCCCCCGTGAAGACTTCCCAACGCCCTCCTTGCGATCCGCCACCATGTCGCTTTCCTTCGCCAATGGTGATGTCCGAAACAGCACGTCCTTACTGCCCTGCTAGGCGCCACTCACCATCGCCCCTCCGCTGCTCTAAGTCACCACTGCGACCAGTCTCGCAATACATTTGCCAACGCCCAAAAACTAACCTCTGCGGCTTTGGGAAGAGCAGCTGCATTGATCGAAGGGACAGAAATTCTTCCAGTGCGTACATATATGTTTCTGCTTTAGTAGGTGTATACGTGGGCGCTTTGATAGACACTGGTGCTTGTTTGTCTGTTATTGATCATTATTTGTGTTCTCATTGCCGAAAAGTCACCATCCCTTATGATGGGGATACACTACTCGCTGCTTAAGTGGACATCTTCAGACCTACTGCAATCTGGATCACTCGTGTTTTCGTTCATAGACTTCTACATTACCTACCATTCACAGTGCTGAGTACATGTGCTTAACAGCATTTATGTCTATGGCGGACGCTTCCATCTGCTGTCGAAAACGTGTAGTTCACCTGACAGAAATCGACTAAGCTCTTTATGCGGAATCCAAGCAACTTCACTCGCTAGCTTTAGAAGATACCATGCTAGCGCATAGTCACAAAAAAATAGTCACCATCACTTCTGACGTGATCCACCAAGTTGACCTGCGTGTCCTGCCATCTACACGCTGTCTCACAAGAGCTATGGCCTTTGCTTAAGGGCTAGTGCGGTTCCACACTGACTCTGAACTTCTCTGCGCTACGAACTAGACGTCCGAGAAAAATTCAATTCCTAAAGGCTCCACAAGGTCTGCCGTTACCGAATCCCAGCCTATCTATGTTGCGCCGCTTGTGCCGGCGTATTCTGACCTTCCGTATATATGGACGTTCCTGATGTATTTCGCTTTTGCTGCGACTAACAGCAGTGACCTGACGTATTCGCAGTCAGAGAAGTTTCTTGCCTTTTTAAAGAATTGTGCGACATCGTTTGATACCCATTCCTCTTCTTTGCGTGAGACGTCCGTTATCAAGTATCGTATCCAGACTGATGGCACTTCCATCGTAGCCATCGACCATCTTGCGTCTCTTCATCGGAGAAAAAAGATCATATGCTGAAACGGAACGTCAGATGTCGGTCCACTAGTCCTTGGGCATCTCCCGTTGTTTTAGTATGAAGAAAATACAACTCTATAAGATTTTGAGTGGGCTACACGGCATTCAACAAGATCTCCCGCAAGGAGGTTCATATAATGTCACACAGAGACGATATCTTGGATTCGCTTCAGGATGCTTCTCAAGTCGAGAACTGCGTTTGGCCTGTTGACGCATAGCCACGCTTGAGAACAACAACATCAAAAAGACAGTGTTTTCAACACCATATGAGTCATACGAAATCAACATCATGCCATTCAGCCTTTGCAATGCTTCAGCAGCACTCGAACTACGATTGACATAGTTTTACGGGATTTGAATTGCAAAACTTGGTTGTGCTATTCGGACGATATTGTTATTTTCTTGTCAACCTTCTATCAACACCTGCAATGACTGGACAAATTTCTCATGTGCCTTGCAAACGCGCGTCTTCCACTGAACACCAAGACCCTCTGTTTTGCGAGCAAGACAAAGTGATAGGCCACATCGTAAGCAAGGACGGCGTTTGTCATGATCCAGACAAGATTTCCGCTCTTCAAAGCTTCCCGCGTCCTGAAAAGTAAGAGAATATATCAGTTTTCTTAGCCTAGCTTCCTATTTTTGCCAACTTATTCGAGCCTTCTTCTTTATAGCTTCGCTTTGCACAACTTGCTCGGATCAGACGTCGTCTTTGTGTGGTCTCCTGAATTTGAATTCGCGTTTACCCAACTGAAGCAGGATCTCACATCCAAACCAGTCTTTTTTCATTTTGATGAAACCGCATCTACACTCCTGCATACAGACGCTAGTGGTCATAGCTTCAGTGATATCCTCCTACAACGAAAATATTTTCACCGGTCGTCCTATACACAAGCCGTGTAGTGACCGAACCCGAAAATAATTTTACCATCGCCGAAAATACGTCACGGCCTAGTGGTCGCTCCGTCTATATAAACGTTTCGACCTTATCTTCATGGTACAATTCACTGTGGTTACAGACCATCCCACCTTGTGCTGGCTCTTGACACTCAAAAACTTGCGGGGCAGCCTTGGCCGCTGGATTCTTTTTTTGCAAGAATATTGATTTAGTATTACATAGAACTCGGGAAAAAACACCCAGATACCGACGTGCTCGCGCGTGGTCCACTTCCTTCGGAGTGTCATA